TTCATTTCGTATTTTCGTTGGTCGTTCGGAATCCTACTCAATTCTTGTTTTTTTAAATTTTTTATGTTCTTGTTTGTGTTAATTTTTTTATAATATTTATAATATTTTGCAGTTACAATTGTGATACTTTTTGATTTTACACAAACAATAAGTTTCTTTATTATTGTTGTCATTGTTATGATTTTCCAGCATTTATGAGGGACAGCACTGATTGAATTGAATAGATATGGTGAAGGAATACTGATGACAAGTGAAATGAATACTATAGTCTTGATGTGAATCCTTGTTCAAGAAGCTCTATCTTCCCAGCAATCCTGTAGCTATTCCTGCTGAATGCTGCTGGTTCTTCCTGTTGTCAAGTTCATATTATCATTAGTATCATAACATTAATTAATTGTTTTGTGTTTTTGAAATAAAATAATTCATTACACATGCAAGATTAATACCTTCTTTTAGCTGGAAAGCTCAACTAAGTATTGCAATTTGATTCCAAGCATAGCCAGCCTATAGCTAGGTAAAAAATACTTGCTGTTCCCAGTTCTGAGATCTGAGCAAGCGCGACCACACCCAAATTTTGGAGCACATGCTTGATGCTTCTTTAATTAATAAAATGGCGGCATGGGGTAAGCTGGTTCGATCCAACAGTCACAGTATCACTTCTTCCTTTCTTGGAGAATGATTCTAGGGGGACAAGGACCGGCGCATACCCTGTTGGAGTAGAATGGTGTAAGAATTAGCCTTCTATCACCAGGCAAGATCGATATATCGACCGACAACTGGATTGACAGGACTAACTTGATGATGATGAAGATGAAAAAAGGTGGCTGAACAAAACGGCCGGTTTGCAGATTTTTGATTTTTGTCCAAGAAAAGGTCTAGAGCCACGCTAGTTGTACCATTGGAGTCCTCTGGTCAAGATAAGGTCCTCTAAGAAGTCTGGTAAGCATAGGAGCTCGTTTTCCCGGTATAGCAAGGCTGCAAAAGTCGTGGCAGCCATTTTGTTTGGGGGTGAATCCTACTTAGTAACGCTACCGCGTTACTAATACATGTAAATGTAATTTTAAAAGAATTCCCAAAATCCAACTTTGATTTAAATCAGCAACTTTATACGTAACATAAGAACATGTATATGTATCAGAAAATGTAATAAAAATGGAGAATTTTCTTCTAGCCATTTTTGATAAAATACATGTATATTGCACTATTATAGTACATGTGCATGCATGCATGGTCTTGGGCCCAATTTTTGAGCAACTTTAAAAGTCATTAAAAATTCATTAAAAAATCCAATTTCAATTGGAATCAGTTCAAACTTGCTACACAACATAAGAACATGTATATGTATCAGAAAAATTATAAAAATAGAGAATTTTCTCCTATTCATTTTTGACGAAATTTGGCTAAAGACCCTGTACTATAGCCCATGGTCTTGGACCCAGTTTTTGAGCAACTTTAAAAATTCACAAAAAATCTAATTTTGATTGAAATCAGTTCAAACTTGCTACACAACATAAGAACATGTATATGTATCAGAAAAAATTATAAAAATGGAGAATTCTCTCCTAGTCATTTTTGACGAAATTTGGCTAAAGACCCTGTACTATAGCCCATGGTCTTGGGCCTGATTTTTGAGCAACTTTAAAAATTCATAAAAAAATCCAATTTCGATAGAAATCAGTTCAAACTTCTTACACAACATAAAAACATGTATATGTATCAGAAAAAAATTATAAAAATGGAGAATTCTCTCCTAGTGATTTTTGACAAAATTTGGCTAAAGCCCTGTACTATATAGCCCATGCCATGGTCTTGGGTCCGATTTTTGAAATTTTGAGCAACTTTAAAAATTCATAAATAATGCAATTTTAATCTCACTCAGTTCAAACTTTAATAAGAAATTGTTCAATTGCCTCTGGTTCCGGATTATTCTATCAAAATGTCCCTACATTTCCTGTGGGATTGAATCATTATTATGAATATTCATCACATCCACCTGACCTGTGAACTCCTGCATAGTAAACCTGTCTAGATTCCATCAACCACATAATTGGAGGGATGCTCTTTGGAATGGGCAGCTGTTCCCTCTTAAATATGTTTAGGTGTAGCTGTGGTTTGAACCACAAAACCTTTAGAGGACTCTCTCTCTCTCTCTCTCTCTCTTTGTACATGCAGCACTATATAATACAGTTCGTGTCCATTATTATGAGAGCTGCATTTTTCTTTGTTATTAAGTTCTTGATATTTTTATTTATAGTTTTTTTGAAACTTCCACAATCTGTCAGTATTATATTAATCATAATTATTTTAGTCTCTATTTTATTGTTACATATCTAATACCTGTGACTGAGAATTACAATGCATGCACATACCATATAGCTGAAATTTCCGTGGCCTGAAATTTCTGCTAATTTTGTGGATTTGGAAAAAAACGAAGAAATTTAATTCTCAAAATTTTGGCACACAATTTATTGAGCTATTTAAATTAAAAGGCATGATGAATTTGCAAAAATAAAATCCGCAAAAGCCATTTTGATGACAATTCGCAAAATATTTGGACCACAGAAATGTCTAGGTATACGGTATATTACAGTTGCACCTATATATATATATATATATATATATACATGTACATCTTAGGTGGCTATTATACTGTCATTGTACAGTGTTTTTTAATTCTTGCTGAGGGGATTATGCTGTGCCTCGTGGCATGTAATGCTTGTTGTAATTTATTGCTTTGTAATGTATTTTACCACACAATTGAGGTCTCCCTCTCTTTGATGAATTATAGAGACACTCACTCTCAGACTTACTCACACAGACACACCTGCCTTTTCTATTAACAGGCAGCTGCATTGCTCAAACCCTTAGGAGTTGCTATAGTACCGAGATTAAGTGGTTTATTGAGACAGATGGGAGTGCAATTACCAGTAGAGGGTGAGTGAGCAAGCGAGATATTGTTATGCCACTATTGGGTGTAATGAGATTAGGGTACAGTATTGATTGCAATCCATGGTAAACACCACATAGGTAGTGTACATGCTAACGATATTATTTGCATTTTATAATCACGTTATGGATTTAAGTGTCAAGGTGTTTGTTGCAGCTGTGTATAAGTGATCCTCTAAAAGTCTCCTTGTACTAGTTACTGTAAATGTACACGCATGTATAATGTAATTCCTTTACTTGCAATTTCTTTTCCCTATATCTTTCTCCCTCTTCCTCTCCCTTTCTCTCTCTCTCCCTCTCTCTCTCTCTCTCTCTCTCTCCCTCTCTCTCCCTCTCTCTCTCTCTCTCTCTCCATCTCTCTCTCTCTCTCTCTCCCTCTCTCTCTCTCTCCCTCTTTCTCTCTCCCTCTCTCTCTCTCCCTCTCTCTCTCTCCCTCTCTCTCTCTCCCTCTCTCTCTCTCTCCATCTCTCTCTCTCTCTCTCCCTCCCTCCCTCTCTCTCTCTCCCTCTCTCTCTCTCTCCATCTCTCTCTCTCTCTCTCCCTCTGTATTGATATGGTATTGTGGTAGAGCATGTTGGTATTATGTTACTAGAGACAGATTTATGTCCAATACCCTTTGACATACCACAGCCTCATTGTCTGGATTCCTCTTTCAGGTCTGTGTCATTAATCTAGAGGCAAAAAGAGAGTACTACCTTCTATTTATGTACATGTACTTACTCACAGACATTCTCACCATATGTCCATGTACATATAATTCCTTGAAGCTTGAGACCAGCTGTCAAAAGGTTATGATGTGTATGTACATGTACATGCCTTCATTATGTGTGTGTGTGTGTGTTGTATAGTGATCTCATTGGAGCACCTGCAGACTGTGTAATGCCTTTATTTGTATTGATCTTCAATGAATGAGTCTTTTGTGTGATTATATGGTATATATCTTATTATTATACCAACTGGAGATAATAACTATTCTCTCTGTCTTTTATTATAGGTATCATCCATAAAGGTAATAGTAACAATTTTGCTTCTTACGAGTGTGGAGCTAAAGTTGTCGCTACAAATCCCGAGGCTAAAGTATAATTATATTTATTAATATTTATTTATTTATTTTTCTTTCACTAGAATTCTCATGCAATATTGACTGGGAATAAAGATGAGTACATGCTTAATCCATGCTCAGCTGAAATATGGTAAGTAGTTACATGCATGTACTGTACATGTACAATTGTGTATATACATGTACATGTATTAGTGGAACTTATCCAGTAGATCAGTAGTTTACTGATTAGTATACCAATAATTTACTGAGCAGTGTTGTGGTAGTATACTGATAGTATACTGATGTTGTTGTTGTTGTGATTAGTGATGATGCTACAGAGAGCTGACTAATGACTCATTTAGATCGTTTTATTGTCTTTCTGTTTTGGCTTCTATTTTTCTCATTAACTTGTTGAACCAATTAATTTGAATCACGGGGATTTTCTCTCCCTAAATGCTTAAGTGCCGGAAATTCAATCTAAGGACTATTTAATTTGCAGAAACTTCGCAAGTTTTCCAAGCACGTAACACGTACCATGTATATGTACATGTATATGCATGCCTCTCTGCATGTACGTGTATATGTATCTGTTATCAAAATGCCTCTAATTTTAAACCGATATCATTGAAAAATGTAAATATGAAATTTGATGTAGTTTTAACTTTCAATCCATACTGTATGGTTGTGATTGAGTATAAGTGAGTGATTTCACCTCCAGAATAATAATTTTCTATATTTTTGATGCAATATACAATGTAAATAATAATAATTATAGTATAATAATTATGATAGTAATAATAAATAATGATGATGATGATGATGATGATGATAATGATAATAATGACACATGTATAATGATGTTACTATTATTTGTTGCTATAACTGTGTAATGAGTGCTTACGTTATTATTGTGTAATTATTATTGGCTCAATAGTATCGAATTACCATTTGCAGTTTTATTGCATTTCTAGACATTTTGTTTCATCCTAACACACATAGCATATATATGTATGATTCTTGATTCTCTCTTCTCATCTATATTCCTTTTATTATAGGTTTGTCATCGAACTATGTGAATTGGTCTCTGTCAATAAATTTGAAATTGGAAGCTTTGAGCTATTCTCTTCTATACCAGAATCCTTTGCTGTCTTCACCAGTGAGAGGTCTGTCTCTCCCTCCCTCCCTCCCCCCCCTCTCTCTCTCTTTTTCTTAATAATTCATTTATCCATGAGAGAACACCTGGGCTCAGAGTGCTCTCTCATCCTCTCTCTGTCTCTCTTATATCACTCATTGCTCAAACCACAAATGACAAGAATGCTGCAATGTTGGTATATCCTCATGGTTCTTCTTGCCATCTCTTACATCAAAGCTATGCTTAATAAGAAAAGAATTCTAATAGTGCAGTGTGTAGTAATCCTGGCCTAGTTGTTGCAGGTGTATTTCCTGTTTTTAATTGCTTGTATGATTTGATGCTTGATAGTACCACCCTCTCTCTCTCTCTCTCTCTCTCTCTTTCTCTCTCTCTCTCTCTCTCTCTCTCTCTCTCTCTCTCTCTCTCTCTCTCTCTCTCTCTCTCTCTCTCTCTCTCTCTCTCTCTCTCTCCCTCTCTCTCCCTCCCTCTCTCTCTCTCTCTCCCTCCCTCTCTCTCTCTCCCTTTCTCTCCCTCTCTCTCTAGCTATCCCACCTCTAATTGGGAGAGCATTAGCTCGTTTCAGATGCGTAATGAGAGGGGCGTACAGGAATTCCCCCTCGCTGACACGGTCTATGCCAAATACATAAAGATAGTCATGCTTAGTCACTTTGGGTCAGAGCATTATTGCCCCATCAGTATGGTCAGCGTCTATGGGACTACAATGATGGAGGAGTATGAACTGAGTGAGACACAGAGAACACAAGGAGGGAAAAGAGATAGTGTAGAAGATGAAGGGAGAATCACTATAACTGGTATGTCTACTAGCTAGCCTTGCATTAATGTATTAATGAGAAATGTACATGCAATCGTATATGCTAATGAGCCGTGGTCATTCGCATGCATGGTCATTATGAAGTAATTAGTTATACGTGCATGAATATCTAATTCTTTCTCTGTATAATGACTTATGTGAGCATGTGTATGACGTGTGTGTGTTTGTCATCTTGTGCTAGCTACTATGGATTGTTTGTTTGGGTGGGAAAATTAATGTCCAGTCTTGTCTTTTCTCATCTTAATCTCTCTCTCTCTCTCTCACACACACACTTCCTTACAACGAATATCCCATTATAATATTATAATATAATAATATATCTTGTGTATGATAAATGACTATTAGTGTACATGTGCATGTGGTCCATAATCAGTTTAATACCTGCCACCAATCTACACCAATGGTTTACACACACTTTACCATCTTCCCACTCCACTTCATACCCTATACATGTACATGCCCATACTTAGCTGCACTGCACACATCATACACGCTACCATGTTATTGTAAAGTCTGAATTCGTAAGAATCATAGCGTGTGGGTTATTGCTCTTATTTTGAAAATATTACCTGTATCTGTGTGTAAAGAGAGAGAGAATATGTGTGTTATATGTAACTGTGTGTGTGTGTGTGTGTGGTGATTAGTGATCCCACTCATTTGTTACTATTGTATCAGTTACATACCATTGGGTCACCTAATCACTGTCTAGAATGTTAATTGTAATCCACCTGCTCTCTATGCGTCTGATCATGCAGTCATCTCCTCCCTACATTGCGAAGAGCATATGTCAGTATCTATAGTTTTACCCTAGCTCATACCCTCTTTCTCTGGTATGATAAGTATCGTGACAGGAGTGGTAGTGGTGTATCTCATGTTATTTACAGTTACCTTTTGGTGTATGGTTCTCCTTACATTCTTGTTATTACATGTAATCCCTTCCTCATACAAGCATTCTTCTGTTATGAAGACCCTTCCTCTCTCTCTCTCTCTCTCTCTCTCTCTCTCTCTCTCTCTCTCTCTCTCTCTCTCTCACTCTCCTTTCTTGCTGTACCTTATTCAAATGCATGTACATGTACAATGTACATGCATCGATCCCTACATGTATGTCAAGAATATATGTGTGTGTGTGTGCAGGTGTAATTTATCTGGTAATTTGCGCATTCCAACTGTCTCATTCATTTACTTTCCTTTGGATTTGTTTGTTATTGTTTTCATGGCTATAGCTGTCTCGTCCTTTGAAACCGCGAGACAGTTAAAGGTGTGTTGTCTGCCCTGACTGACTCCTCTTTTTTGTTGGTATCTATTTAACTATGAACAATCCTTTGTTCCAATAAGTGTGGAATTACTTAATCACTTTCTTAATTACTGGTGGCGTCTGGCATCGCACCTGCTCAGCATCGCTTTCCATCAGGTGTCATTTTCTTTCATATAATACATTCTTTTATTGTGCAAATTGTTGATTTGATTATTTGTTTTCATTCTTGTCCTTATAAGCTCAGCTAGACTCCTCGAACTCTCTTTGTGGGAATTACAAAAATGTATTGGAATTTTGTTGCATAACGATTGATATAATGCTAGTAATGTATTGGATCGTATTGGACATGCATGCATGTGTGTGTCCATGCGTCTTATTAATAAAAGTTAAAGAGTTTGTTTTAAAACAAGGATCATACTGGAGCTAATTTGTTTTGACTACATTTGGGGATACAGTATTAAGCTTAATGCCTAAAACACTACATGTACTTGTACTTGTACATGTACATGCATGTACATGTTGCATGAGGTCAGATCCATTGCAATTGATTAATTATTATCATAGTCTTAAAAAATTGAAGTATTAACCCAATTTAATTTTAAACTATAATAATGCAATTAATATATTTAATCTAATCCAATTCATTGTAGATGTTTTCATGGTTACATACATGTATGCATATAAAGGTGTATAGCAATGTGTGTGTATGTGTGTGTGTGTTTTTGTGTATCTAAGGTAAAGGTATGCAGTTGAGGTACAGTATGTACACTAGAGGTGTATTTACACGTGCTCAGTGGGTGTATAACGTAAATAAACACTGTTTAGTTGCCTTGGGCTCGCCTCTACTCTGATTGTTTTTAAACGGAAGGTTATGTAATTTTGATTTCAACTTATCCTCCTTCTACTGTACATGTACGTGTGTGCATATAAATATAGGCGCAATATTGTATCCCCCCCTCTCTCTCTTGACCACAGATTTTATTTATTTTTTATATATTATTGTGACTGGTTGAAGGAGTATAAGTGGTCTTATAGTAGTAGTATGGTAGAGGTTGTGGTTAAGAGGTAATGATGTTTGTATACACACACTCTCCTCTCTCACTAATACTATGAGTACATGTACATGTACCTCCTTAGAACTTATTCTAAAGTTACATGTACATACATACTATATTACATACTATATACATGTACATATACATGTATATGTATGCATGTACATGTATGTATGAAATGGGACGCTATAAGAATTACATGTATATAGATTAAATTTACTTTTATTATATTAGCATATTAAGACTCTTAATTCATAGAGTGAGTGACATCATCCTCTGCTTATGATGATAGATAGTGAGTCACTGGTTGTATTGTGGACTCTTGACTGACAGTGATCTGATGAGTCAATCTCCAGCCTGATCTCATTTAGGCCTGACAGGATACCCTTTATAAATCAATATTTCAGTTCAGGCTGACAAGGCAGCTGCATGAATCTATATAGTCCAATCCGCTACTATTGATTATCTAGTCTGTTTGTAATGTTAAGTGTCTGGGAGTACACTATGTGTAGTATAAAAGCTCATTATGATGTTATTAATGTTTAAATATGTCTGGAGGCAGTTTCCAGGTGAAGTCCCTTTTCTCTCATTCCAGTCATGGTTTATTAATTGGGGTCTGCTTATTACTAGAAAGAGGAAAAGAGAGAGAGAATGAGAGAGGGAGAGAGAGGGGGGAGGTTAAAACAACAGCTGATCTTCTAGTTAAACTTTAAAATTCACTCTCATCTCTTCCTCTCTCATTATTATCGCTTCTCTCTCTCCCTCCCTTCCCCCTCTCTCTCTTCCTGTAATCTCTCTTCCTTCCCTCTCCTTCCTCCGTCAGTTTAAACTATAGCCTCGGTCTCTTGCTCCTGTACTTGTTTGGCTACTATATATTAGACAACAGCTGCAACACTTAACTCCAAACCTTATTATTTTGAGAGACTATGGTTTCTGTATAGTACCAACCTGCCAACTCAGTCTTTGTGGGTTATCTCCTTGGTAACACATTATGAATAATAATAGAAAGGAGGACCAGGAGAGAGAGAGTGAGGAAAGGTTATGTGTGTTTGTACACATTGAGAGTGTTAAGTGGCTAGTGGCTCATAATAGCCCACCTGCTATTATCATAATCAGAGTGACCATGCATATGCAAGCACTTGAATAGCCTTCTTCTTAATCTAGTTAACAATAATTATATTCTTATCGATCTCTCTCTCTCTCTTTTGGATATTTGGTTTGTCTTAGCCACCATATTTTATCTATACTTGATACACACATTGCCTTACTTGTACTGACTGCTATTCTTGGCAGTGCCAGTGTTATGCCTAACCCTATTATTGTTTGGCTTATTGTTTGACATTGTATATATAAGACTTGCTTCACAGTTTGTCTAACTGATCACATATTGTTGATCCACCTGTGTTTGGACTGCCTACATGTATGTCCTTATTTGCCTTGATGCTCCTTCAAATTTGTACTTGTCTGACACCTTGTGTATAATGTACGTGTACATTATTAATTATATTAGCATACATGTATATATACATGTATATGCATAATGTGCTTAATGTGTGACTGACTCTGTGTGCTAACTGACTGGTGACTGTCTACATGTTTGTTTTCAATTATAATCATTTGTGGTATTGACAACTCTCATTCCAATATTCAGTTCTTTATAATGAAGCATTGCTGTGTGTGTACTACTAGCTATATTGAACAATAAACTTGTACTTGTATCCTCCAGTATATGGTTTTATTAGAGTCTTATCATATTCCCTTGTAACATCATTAGTCTGTACACTCTACGGTCCATAATTTGATACCTCTCTCTTTATTGCATTATAGTGGATTGTATGCACCTAGTCTATGTACACAGGATTCATCAGGCTCTCTTGATCCTTATCTCTACATTACACTCTATCATTCATTAGACAATGCATGTGCATTATGCATTGTGTTGTGCGTACTAATATCAGCATTCTTATCCTTCTTGCTGGCTGCTGTTCAGGTATCACTTACACCCCTTGACTGCAGGTGTTAGTACCTTATTGTATATCAATAGTGTTACGTGATACTTTATTATTGGACAGAGAGAAAGGAGAGAATTACGAAATATGTGCCATGCATGTATTTAATGTGCAGTACGTGTTTGTGTTTGTGTGTGTGTGTGTGTGCGTGCGTGTCATATCGAATGTACATGTACATGTATAGAGTATATATTTATATTGAGTGGGAGGTAGGGAGGGATGAGGGATTGTTTCCTAGTGAGTCATTTGATGCTCATTAGTTAATACCTTCAGCTGGACTTACAGATAGTAATAATAATGATACACAATTTTTTCATTTCTCTCCTCTCTCTCTCTCTCTATTATTTTACAAGGAAATAGCTCCCATTAATTATTCATTATTTAATAAAAAGGCTAAGCAACCGGCCAGTGCCACCCTTTATTGTTTTATTAAGTGTGGGGCTATTAGAGACCACTGGCAGATGTCCAATGAGCAGTGATGAGGAACACTGTCTAGTCCTCTCTCCCTCTCCCCCTCTTGTTTTTAAAGGCAGCTGCTGGACTATGAGCCTCTATTGTGATTCAGTGCATTAATGGAAACCATTTGTGGTCAATTGGTGGTGGCACTATTATACTCTATCTCTCTCCTCTTCTTACCCGATAGAGTCTTTATCTGCATGATCTCTCTCCAGCCTGTATATGGTATTATGTGTCCTTGAAGGAGGGAGAGATGTAATTATGTATATATGTACACAATACACATGTAATATAGCATTCATGCTGTATTTCTTTACTACTTGTACATGCATTAATTCCTATTCACTAGCTCGTGTACTGTTATCCTAATGCTGCATACTGTACAAATAAGACTCTATTTAGCTCTGTATAGCTGTAGGGTATGTAGTATGGAGTGTGGAGCACTCGGTAGTGTCTGGTGCCACACATGTGTGATTGGTATAGGCTACTGCAGTGAATGTAGAGTTTGTTATGGGTGTCATTGTTTAGCTATAGATAGAGTAGACTTTAACGTCTCCAATTGTAATAACTGCATGATGCACTCAGTCTGACCTAGCACATTAGTATAATCTGTGAAATTTTACACACCTCTACATGTACAATCCCAATACAGCCCATTTCCTCGATAGTGTAACATGTCCATGTATGTGTAATAATAGACCTCTTTGTATAGTCTTTTCCCTCTAAGACACCTCTTTTATTGTGGCCTGTGTTTCTCATGATGCTTTTGTTTCAATAGATAGTATTCATAATTGACAAGATCTATGCATGCAAGTGCCTATAATATAGCTGGCTACTGATCCCTAAGTGTCAGTTGATCTGTTGGTGTGTGTACAGGTGTTAACTGTAGTATCTTGTTTCTACAGTGGGTGGTTTTCATAAGACACCTGTGTTGTGAGATAGGGTGTCTCCTGGCCCTCTCTCTCTCCCCTCTCTCCTTCCTTCCTCTATCTTCCTCCCTCCTACTCTCTTCCCCTTTTACTATTATTTTCCCACTCTCTCCTTCCTTCCTTCCTATCCCCCCTCACTCTTTCTTTCATGATAACAAAAGTGAATGTGGTTTCATTTTAAAACCTGTTTTCATCATAATGTATCATTATGTGTGTTTGTTTTATAATCCTTCTTCTCTTCTCTTTATGCAGATACTGATAATACTGACAGTACAGTAAAGCCCAATGGCCCTGAGGCAAACAATCCGTTACTAGCAGCCACTGGTAAGCAACAGTATAAACAGTATCAGATCGAGTGTCGCGGTTTAATTCCCTTTTATACAGTACTTGTACAGTAACTGTACATATGGTACAATATGTATATACTATTATACTGCGTGAATCCTTAAATAGTATGGTATTAAGTATCATCAGAGTATGCATGTACATTGATACCATAGAGTGTGTGTGTCGTGAATGTTCCATTGTAGTTCTTCAAGACACAGAATGTTTGTCATTAAATTCTATATTTAGGAACTACTGTATTACTTTTATATGATATTGAGAAATAACTTTCATATTTATAAGAGTAGAGAGAGGGGGGGAAAGGAAGAGAGAGGGAGGGGAGAGAGTGAGAGAGAGGGAGAGAGGAAGAGTGAGAGAGAGGAAGAGAGAGAGAGAGAGAGAGACTAATAGTAGCTTAGAAGTGCATTCCAGCTCTTGTGTAGGTCCTGATTGGTAATAGTTTTTGTAATGGTTGGTTAGACAGCAATCCTCTCACTGATTGACAGTCTGTGCTTGCGTGTGGGCATTACAATTACCTTAGGATTAAAACAAAATTAGAAAAGAGAGGAATGTCTGTTATTGCATACCAATTGCTCCGTTGGTCTCGATTTTTATTATTTTTACTATTTTTATTCGCCATCTGATCTTTGTTAATAATATTTAATGATAATAATGATATTCTCATTGAGGACTGTGTTTATTTGTGTCTCATTAGTAAAGAATGTGCATTATGCGTCCTCCAAAAATCCAAATTGACGCGATAGAAAGAGATAGGGAGGAGGAGGAGAGAGAGTTTATCATGCCATCACTGACCGCTAAAATATTTTAAGCCGCCCTTCTCTTTTTAATTAGGGCAGTATTGCATTCCACTCATAATTAGACCTAATTTTAATAAACTAAATGCAAAAGATTTAAAAAGACCGCAGAATGATTGAAAGAAAGGAGAGAATTAAAAACTTTAAGTTTTAAACACTGTACTATTGAGTGTACAATGTGCATGTGTTGATCTACCCAGGCATGTTTTATATGTGCATGTACATGTACATTTACATGTGCATGTACATGTATGTGTGAGAGGGAGGAGGGAGGGAAAGCGAGGGCGTACGAGGAGGTTTACATACCAGCTGATAATAATAAAACATAACATAAGATAATAATTTTAAGGACACTTTGCAAGCGTAACCCGATATTCTGATGGTTTATTTGTTTGGTTCCTTATTCTCTAGTGGCCTTTGCATTCCAGTGGCCAGTGGAAATGCTACACTGTCATAGTTTGAGTCTCATTAGTACAGAGGGAGAAATTAGATTATTTTATTGATTAAATAGCAAGCAATGTACATGTACATGTACATACATATTGTATTCATGTCTTGAATGCTTTTTAATGGCATTTACTGGAACCTTTCATACTTCTCTCTCTCCTCCCTCTCTTTGTCTCTCTCTCTCTCTCCTTTTCTGTGTAATTATGCATGCCCAAGTTTCTTTGTAGTCAACAATATTGTGTTAAAACATTTGCGGTGATTGATTGCTAAACTTAATTTGTTTCCACAAATTTTGATGATTTACTTAGCCTCTGCCACACCTAATAGCACCCATACTCCGTCATTGCTAATTATCCTGAAATCATAGCACACGTTAATCATTCTCATTATTTGTAAGCTATGTCCACCTTACCTTTCATCTTCTAGACTATATCACTACAAAGTTTAGTCTTTAAATGTGTATATCCTTTTTCTTTCTCTCTGTATTTTACCTGTCAATCTTTCTCCCCCCCCCCTCTCTCTCTCTCTCTGCCTCTACTCTTGTATGTATTCTGTTAGCACTTGCACCTGGTCATGGCACTTATCTTTTAATTTGTTTGTCAACATGTTAAAGTTTTTGTTAATTCTTCCTTACAGAGTTCAGCCTCTACATACCAGTTACGTGTACGGTGATGATGATGATGCATGAATGATGTTTGTTTGTGTGTGTGTGTGTGCATTTTCAATGTGATGTACTGTATTATGTATTGTTCATAATAATAATAGTGAAAGTATGTGTTAATAGTGCAATTGGTGCTCATTATATTTTCCTTTATTATATTTCACTCTGTCTCCATTGCATATGGTGTCCTGTCACAGTTTCATGAGCACACACACACACACACACACACACATACACACACACACACACAGATACATACACATGCACATATTGCAGCCTCTGTCTGATGTTCAGTGGCATTCCACGCATACTTCATATCCATTGAACCTTGAAGCACCTGTTGGTGTTCTTAGTCCCAGACAATTGGTCTACCCTATACCAAACTCACTTCCTGTTCTGTGGCCCAGGTGTGGTGGCCCATCATATGTTTGCATTGTCCAATTATTGTAATCATTATGAATATTCTTCTCATCTTTGTACTCTCCTCTCCTCTTTCATTTTAAACCTCCTCTCTCTCTCTCTCTCTCTCTCTCTCTCTCCCTCTTTATGAAGATGCATATCATGTATTTATTGGCAAGTCAATGACTTCTATCAAATGCACCTACTATTGCCTAATTATTTTAAAAAGAATATCAAGGGTACATCGACTGATGCATTCATTCGTATGCACACAATGTATTAATGTAGTTAATCCTCAGCGTCAGTATGAGTCATATTGTGTATATAAAGCATTGGGTATGATTACTTTTTGTAATAATAAGATTGACTGGGTGCAGCAGTGAGTATGTGTAAACATTACTACTTTAACCTATTGTGTAATATAATAATAACGATTAATCAATCACTGGCATCTGTCTATATTATATCATGTATGTGTGTACAAGTATATGATAGTAATATAATGATTGCGGTTTTAGTGTACCCTGATAAGTCCGGTGAGTGAGTGAGTGGTGAGTGTGTTGCAGGTGGTCAGTCTCATCATCTTCTCTAGCTGTGGTTATTTCTGTTTGCAAACTATTAAATTATGTTACGCAGACAATTTGAGGTTTCTGCCCCTAAGTGGGTGGGCGTGGCTCAGACTGTTGCCTGGCAACCACTCCAAGGTGTTTGCTTACTAGTCAGTGGTATTTGCCTTATTTCTTGTTCTCTCTTTAAATATTCCCTCTCTCTCTCTCTCTCTCTCTCTCTCTCTCTCTCTCTCTCTCCTCTCTCTCTCTCTCTCTCCTCTCTCTCTCTCTCTCTTTCTCTCTCTCTCTCTCTCTCTCTCCATAATCATTATAATTTTATACTCAATGATAATGTAAAGGTTTTGTTTTGTCTATTTTAAATATGCGTATGCATGCAAATGTACATAAACGCCTACATCAGTGTATGGATTCATTTCCAAAGTAAATATTACATAAAGTGCACATTATATCCTCTTGCTAATAATAAAGCTATGCCAACAGAAATCGATTGAAGCCCCCACCTCATCCTCTTGGTACAGATAAGACCGTACTTTCATGTACATGTACATGTATGTACAGTATCTACATGTCAAGTTGTACGTTTTGCATGTTTTACCTGTAGCCATATGGTGCATGGTTATCAACCCCATCTCTTGTACTGTATAGTTACAGTGTATATACAGTAGTTAGTTATGATGTTTGAGGTGTACCTTATAATCTCTTGTTTACAAATATGACAACTTTCATCTTCTGGTCCGGGACTCTTTGACAAATATGGAAGTATTTGTATGTACATGTACATGTATGTATATATTTACTGCTTGAAGCCAGGTGTGCATATTAATCCTTGTCATCCTGTCTCTCTCTCTCTCTCTCTTTCTCTTCCCCTCTCTTATTTATCCAGTTAATGTGTGACTGCACCATTTAATTACTTGCATACCCTGCTTCTCTTTTATTGTCTGTGTGTGTGTGTATATATGTTTGTGTGTCCTAGCTGCCACAGCTGTAGTAACACACCAGGTGTCCTCTATATTCCTCATTCCTCTCTATCTCTCTCTCCATCTCTTATTGTATGCACTACTCTCTATATATTAAAGAACTCCTCTCTCTCTCTCTCTCTTTCTTTCTCCCATCATCATGATAATTTGTATTTTCTTACTAATCAATGCTCTACTAGCTAGACTAATTATCATAATGATTTTTATGTATTTGGTGTACAATGTACATTGTATGCTAGTAATGTACATGTAGCTATTATTATTATTGTTATGCCACAGAGAGACGTGTGGTTCCCTTTTGTGTGGGTTTACAGTATTGTCTGACTCTTTCAAAAAAGCACAGTGCCATTCTCTATTTAATATCCAAAGACTCAATATGATCTGTTGTCTATTAATAGCTAGTAATGCATGCACATTCTAGGCACATGTGACACTACATCATTACATCAAGGCAGCACCACATGTTGTTATTGTTTACATTTTTGTCTATTATTTCTTTTTCCAGGTGCTATTATAAGTGTCATTGGCAAAGCGGTTAATGGACTGATGGGGAAAGAAAAAAAGGAAAGGATGAATCATAATATTGACAGTGAGGATGAGAGGAGACAGCTTGCTAAATCCACTAGGCCAGATGACTTGCATCAAGTCAGTTTTGATGAAGCTCGGTCGTGTGTCACTGTAGAGGAAGGAAGGAAGGATACAGGCCAGCAGCTGTCCAATGAAAAGTAAGAATGATTGAATGAATGTTTTGTTTGTCAAGTGTAAGTTGAAAGTATAATATTAGTTTTATTGTGAGGATTGAGATTTAAACTGAAAGCTCTCCAGCTGGTAGGAGTGGTGGTATGTGTGTGTGTATGTGGAGAAATTAAGCTCCTGCTGCTGCTCAGTTGAGTATTTAATTTTGACAGAATTTGTCTTTAAAAAATAATTCTATAATAATGATAATAATAACTGTATTTACAATCGGTTTAAAAAAAGGATTAAGAGAAAAGTTATTATAGAGAGTCCCAGTCGAAGGAGGAGTGTCTCAAAATATAATGGTGATGAGAAACAGCACCTGTGTCTCCTTTCCTGTTCCCCTCATGATACTTTCCATACAAACACACACAAATACACGCATACGTCTAGTGGTGACTTGTCACACGCCAGCTAGTTCTGTCATTTATGTACACAGTGAAGTCCATCCAGCAAATTTTGCCGTAGTCCTCTCTAGATTGGTCTTGCCTCCTCTCTCCCCCGGGGGAGACGGAGATTTTTCTAAACGGCCATTTTTTGGAGTAGATCAACTGTAGTTTGAAAAGACCTGTCCTACACAAGAAATCAAGAGAGAGAAAGTGTAATTTTTGTCATGAGATGCTAACACTTTGTATGCACACACACACACACACACACAACTTATTTCTCTCTCTTCTCTTACCTGCTGGTTAATGCTGCTGGTGTTACTGGTACTGAGTATGTTCTCAAGGTGTGCTATGTATGCAATTGTCCTCTCAACGAGATCAAGCTGGAGGAGAAACAGACAGAGAATGAATTCAAATATTTTTGTACTGACATGATGCCTGTGGTTTTCTTCAGGCTCATTTCAAATAATTAAAATTAATTTGCACTTTTATTTTATCATGCATAAAATGTTGCTTTTTTTGTCTCTCACCTCTGATATGCTTGCCTCTTCTTCACCGCTGACTTTTGGGAGTAGTTGCTTCAGTTGTGCCACGCATTCTTCTTGAGTCATTTTGCTGCAAAACTGCTTGACTGATCTCTGTGTCGGCGAGGACCCGTTGACGCGTCTTTTACTAACGCCACCGCTTCCCTCTGCCTGTAGACGAGGAGGAGGCTGTGAACCTGAGATAGAAAAGAAGAAAAGGGAAGGTAAGGGACGTCATCTTGGATTTGTGACCTGCAGACTTACCAACTCCCATGTGGCGTCCCTTTGGAGGAGATTCAGGCCTGTCCATTGAGCGTGTCATCATAATACAGTTGTCTTTTGCTGTTGTAGTAAGTTTATATACTATACAGCTTCTCTCTCACTCACTCTCCCAGTTATTGTGTTTGAGAGGCAATGACACTTTTGAAAAGGAGCACGACTGAGCTTCATTTTTATACAAACGAAACTGGCGGCGGAATGTCTGCAAGACCGCCCACGCACAACCAGCCTGCATGCATCTAACCTATGATCTAACGAATTTTTACCTTTTGCCCAACAACAATAGAATTTGTGCACATTGTACAAAGTATTGACATACACTGGTAGCTGGTTATGGCTCCAGAGCACACCTGCTCCTCCTGCTACTTGGCAAAAGATTTGGGCAGTGCCTGCTCAATACATGGCAGGCATACCACCTGGAGTCAATTCTGAGGATTGCTTGAATGGAAAGTGTTTTCCCAATCCTCTCTTACTCCCTCACTGGTAGCCATTAGCCAATGCACACATGCACATGTGTGCTTCACTTTTAAAAGCTACAGAAGGTTTCGAATGCTTTGCATCTGTTTCCAGTTTACTTTTGTTCCATGTATTGTACAAGCACCTGTGTGTTATGCACCAAGTATTTGCTGGCTATTGTCTTTAGTGATGGGACCCTACCCTTTTCTTTTCATTAGAGTTATGATTGCTATTCCTATAGCTTCTTTGATATGTTATTTTTTGTGACAATCAACTGGGCAACAGGGAGTCATTAGCAATTAAACATTACATCATTCCCTAGACCACAAAGAAAACTCTCTGAAGAGGTTTCCAGCAGCTCATAGCCTCAAGGGATATCAGTTCCACCAACTCCCACAACACACACTGTAATGTCTCTCTCCTGCTTTGCTTCCTCCCCCTCTTTCTCGCCCCTTCTCTTCCCTCACTGCTAATATTGATTACACAACGCATCTGTCTCTCATTCTCTCTTATCTTCTTTGTACTGCCCGTCATACTCTCAAATTATATAATTAAGCGACCCAGTGTAACGTGTGTGTGCACCCACTCTCTCCCTCTCTCTGCTCCCTTTGCTCTCTGTCTGACAGCCACCTGCTATTGTTGTGTCACTTGTCTACAGACTGTCAATGCAGTATAGACATAAGATTGTCTTCAGGTGCTCTGTGTGTGTGTATGTGAGGAGGGAGAGAGAGACAGAGACAGAGAAGGGAAAGAGGCTGAGCTATCATCACAGTTTATTGTAGCTGGTTTGCTCAGGTGTGGTGTTAAAGGAGGGATTGAGGATAGACAGGGAGGGAGGGAGATGAGGGCAGCCTTGTGACTTCACAGGTGCTGTATAATAATAATAATAACCCATGCATCTGTTTCTGAATGTTGATTGATGGTTTACAGTGTGTGAGAGAGAGGATAGGGTCAGGTATCAGAAGAGGGAGAGTTCAATTCTTTTGTAGCACAAATGGTGTGTTTGTTCTTTAATACAGTCAGTGTGTGTGTGAGAGAGCGATGTGTAATTGATACATTTGATTAATTATAAAGTGACAAACTGTACACTCCACTATCTCTTGGTAAATGGCAACACTTTGATAACCAGACTCAATAGGCTCTATTGCAGTTGTTATGAATGTCCCCATGCCACTCCCCTCTCCTTTATTCAGTCTGTTTCTCCTTTATCTAGGGATTCACAGGAGCTGAGTTCAGACCCACCTGCTACAGGCAGGCCTGTGGGTAAGTGTCATAAACAATCTAATCTAAACCAAATTTAGACTTGGTCAAAATATCAATCTTGTTGTCCAATGAGCAGATAGCACAGTAATTCCCAAAAGGCCATCAAAGAATAATATTTGTTGCTACAAGATTCCTTATCTTTGCCATTATATGCAAATGAGCTCTTTTGTAAATTATATTTAATGCTATTCCTAATAATTTTATTTTATATGTGTGAATGCTTTTTTATTCTCTATTTCTATAGATGTGCCTGTTACTACAGAAGTCACCTCAGTAGCTAGCACTAATGAATTGGAACCTACACAGAGAAGAGATGATGGATCTGATTCTTCCTCCTCCGACACTTTATTAGGACCTACTAATGGCCTCTCCTCTTCCTCTATTATAACTTCTTCTAATTCTCATTCTTCTGATTCGGAAGTACCAGCACCTTCTACTTCATCGTCAACACTTATCACTCCAATAGACTCCTCCTCTACCCTCTCTCCCAGTTTTAAAGACACTCTCACTTCGTCTGAAGAACTTCTTATCACTAGTTCCTCGTCTATATCCGTGTCCTTGGAACAAAATAGCTTAAAAACTTTCACGCCAGTTCATCTAACAAGTACATTGATTGATGCTCCTACAGAAGGACCAGATTCTATGGAATCTACTCCAGTTATACCTTTGCCAATTGAAACTCAGTTAAATGTACAAAACATCACACAAGATGATAGTGAAAGTGATAGTAGAAGTATTGTCAATAGTGATACTCTATTACTGAACAATGGAACTGATAATAATAATTCCTCTATGAATGGTGTACCCCATAATGTTACTAATACTAGGAATGTCACTAATACTAGCTCAAGCCTTAATGTCTCTAACACTACTGATCCTGTCGATGAGGGTAACAGTGTTAATTTCTCTAGCGGGTCTCACAGAGAGAAGTCTGTCTTTCTACGTCTTAGCAATCGAATCAATAATCTTGAGATGAACATGAGTCTCTTTGGCAGCTATCTTGATCAGATTAGCTCAAGGTAAGCCCATGACTGTATCTATGTATGAAATAGTATCTCTCTCTCTCTCTCTCTCTCTCTCTCTCTCTCAGTTTGAAGCGAAGTAAAAATAGAACAGATGACATGCAGAAGTCATTAGAAAGGAGAATGTCCTATCTTAACACAACCATACAGTCACAGGTAGGTAGTGGTGGAGGGGGGGGAAGTTGAGGGGAGAGGGGGAAAGGAAGAAACTGAGAATGACCAGGTGTTGCTGACATGAGATCAAACAATTGTCAGTTTCAATATTCACCTTGTGTTGTTTTCTAAAATGTTTTGGGCTGGAAACAGACCGTGGTTAGAAGACTGCAAGCATAATGTACACACACACAGACATTAGATTATATAGATCAGATATAGTACATACATATATATGCATTGATTGTGGTCAAAACTTGGAAGCAATAAATAATGATTATGCATGTACTATGATAACGAATAAATGTAATTATTAGAGTATTTTGATTCACTGTAATTCCTGATACAATAGACTATAATGCCCAGTACACATGTACATGCACAAGTATCAATATGTGTATATTATGCACACAATGAATTTTCCTTTATTGTGTATACTGTTCTTGCTAACCTTGCTTACTATGAATGAGTCTGTTAGGTCAAGAGCCTTAGCAATGTTATCATTGCTTGCATAGCAACACTGTACAATTTATTCCTTTTATTGTGTACCATGCACCTGTTCCTAATTTAGCTTGCATGGCCTGGTTGGCATGTGTCCCAGTCTAGTATTGAAGCATAAGTCATACACACATGTGTCAACCAAGGGAGAGATTGGAGGGAAGGAATTGCAGCTGTTTGATTGACTCTTTTGTTTTATTTATTTGGGAGAAGAGAGAGAGAGGGGGAGAGAGAGAGAGGGAGAGAGAGAGAGAGAGAGAGAGAGAGAGAGAGAGAGAGAGAGAGAGAGAGAGAGAGAGAGAGAGAGGGAGAGAGAGAGAGGGAGAGGGAGAGGGAGAGAGAGGGAGAGAGAGGGAGAGAGAGAGGGGGAGAGAGAGAGAGAGTGAGAGGGGGGGTTGTGTTTGTTAATTGTTGTAGTTGCTGTATAATTGTCATTAGATCATAGATTAATTATCATTTGATATAAGCTTGTGGTTCCTGAGAGCAGTTCCTGTGCTGTCTTGGTACAGTTTTTTTGTATATTTATTGCTAGATTCAATGGGTTAGCTGGAAATAGATACTCTTTTTAAAATATATATAATGCTTATTAGGCCCACTAGGCTGACAATGCATTTTAGAAAAGTATAGCGAATTTCTGAAAAATACCCTGTACTATTATAGCCCATGCTTTTTTCCAAAAAATGGCTCCAGAATCACCTCCACTTTTTATTACATTTTCTGATACATATTGATGTCCTTATGCTGTGTAGAAAGTTTGAGCTGATTCCGACTAAAAATTTTCAAGTTACGGCCATTTTTAAGAATGAGCCAATTTCGGAAAATTACCCTGTACTATAGCCCATGCTTTTTTCCAAAAAATGGCTCCGGAATCACCCCCACTTTTTATTACATTTTCTGATACATATTGATGTCCTTATGCTGTGTAGAAAGTTTGAGCTGATTCCGACTACAATTTTTAAAGTTATGGATAGAGCTTGTCCTGTGTGTAGCATGTATTAGTAATGTTTATATTGCTTGCACTATGACCCTGTACATTGGCTACATATTTTCAATTAATTCTCTTGCTAAGATGGTTTAAATTGATTAATCCAGGAACAACAAGTTAAGCTGCTAAAACATGTGTCACCAACTGTACACACACACACACACACACACACACACACACACACACACACATACACACACACACACATTCATATGATGGATGACATAAGGCATGCTCTACATCAGCACATTATATGCATGAATATGTGTACAGTATGTCTCCAATTATGTACTTGTCATATGATCTCTCATTGTGTCTCAAGTTATGCAATGTAAGGGATGCAGGTGTTACTGTACACACAATTATCTTATGATAATTAATTCAAGTATGAAACACTCATTGACACAATAACACATCTGTTACCATTGCACTCTAAAATCTCACTCTGTGTCCTATATAGCTGTCTATAGCACTATATGTATAGGTACATGTATGTATAGTGCATGTTTTTTATTAGATTAGTTTCACCACCAAAGTACATGTATGTCTGCCTAAAGTGCATAAGCTACATGTACATGAATAATTGTACATATACATGTACATGTGTGCCTTGATGAAGCACTAATCCCCACAATAGTAAGATACATGATTCCACTTAGTTCCGACAACTGGTTCCCTTCCGGTTCATGAATCAGTACAACAATGCCATGGTGTCTGCTAGTCTCTCTGTGCGTGTGTGTCAGTGTAATGCAACCAAGTGAGTCTCTTTTATTAGATTTATTTAATTACAATCCTTCTCTCCAGATGTTTATACCACTACACACATGCACATAAATACACATACACTTGTACGCATATGTACATGTACAATATGTATGTGGATGTACAGTACATGTACAATGTAGTGCAGTGGTCAGTAGTATATATCTGGTCATGGTGTCTGCCACTGCTAATTCATCCAAGAGTATTTTGTTTCAGATGACGGGCAAGTGCTTTTCCTCCTCCTCCGCCACCTTCTCCTTATTGGTGAAGAGCATTTGTTACTGCTTTGATTAGTGACATTAAAGAGAGAGAGAAGGAGAGGGATAAGAAAAAAGGAGGGATAGCAGTAGGTGGGTAAGCTTCATCAAATTCTAAAGGCTGTTCCTCATCTTCATCTCATGATGGCCTTGTAAGGTATTCAATAGTGAGACATTGGGATGCTACATAGTCACTAATTATTGTCCCATTGTTGGTGTAAGGGCCCATATGTAGTAGGTTGTGGCGTGTTATACTGACAATGGCTGACATTTTTGACAACAAATGTCTTCATTGATGCATAGTGTATCCTTCATGTTGGTGTACATTGTATTGATCCATTGACACTTGCTGTTCTTATTGATATTTGTAATTATGGAACCATCTGGCCACTTGTTGTGTGTAATGTGTTATTAATAATAGTCCATTCAGCTCTCTCCCCCTCCTCCTCCTTCTCTCTCCCCCCCCTCCTCTCTCTCTCTCTCTCTCTCTCTCTCTCTCTCTCTCTCTCTCTCTCTCTCTCTTCTATTTTGATAGTCTTCATTAATTAAAGTTAACGATATTAATTAATTATCGATACTATTAATTAGCACTACTACTATGATTATTGATACCATTAATTAAGGCAGTCATTAATTTGATTTACTGTCATACCTATGTAGATATTTATCGCGGTTGTGGTTTTATCACCTCCTCCCTTTTTCCTTCTTTCTTTCACCCCTTCTCTCTCTCTCTCTCTCTCTCTCTCTCTCTCTTTCTCCTCTCTCTCTCTTCTCTAGGTTCAGTTAAACATGTCACTAGTATCAGATTTGTTAGTATCAGTTGATCATCTTACGTTATTGCTAATGGCAGGCCTGCATAATGAGAAGAGCAACACTGACAAGATAGAAATAGTGAGCCATATCCACACATAAAAACACACACAGACACAGACACTGTATCATTATTCAATAATGTTTTATTATTATTATTTATTATTACTATTTTACTAAGTGCACTATAGTCTTGGTGGTTTTTTGCAGGTGGTATTGTTTAGTCTTTATTTATATTAAAGTTCACAAGTTCATTACACTCCTACATATATACATATCATGCTGGCTCAAGATGAACTAATGATATTCCAATTCCTTGAATTCTGAAAGGAAGTCGATTGGGATTTAGTTATGTCTTGAAACACATGTACTTCTCCATGTTCCTTTGGAGAAAAATTGTAAAAATGTAGCCTCTGCATAATGGACACTTTGGGACAAGTGTTAATTATGCAATGGCTTTATGTGGAGGTTATATACATGTACAGTAAGGAATGTAATTGGTACACTAGGTCCTGTCTGTTAATGAAGATGTCCACTGTAGAGAATGCACACTATACTATATATACAGTACATGTAATTTGATTGTTGTCATTATTATGACTTGATTATATACTTATGTCTCTTCTATAGGTACTTTTTGCCGTCCTGGGTTTAGGTATTATCCAGACACTCATCCTAGTCTGTATAATAGCAGTCCTGCTCCGACTCTCCAGAGCTCAGTCGTCTTTGAGCTTGTCCATTGAATCCCTTCACAGCAATCTATCATCATTGATCAAAGAAAGACCAAGAGAAGAGGTTAGGGAGGAGGAGAAGGAGAAGGAGGAAGGAGTGATCAGGACTCGTAGAAAAGGAGGAGGAGAAAGAGAGAGGGGAGAGGAAAAGCATGCCATTACTAAGTCTTTATCACACGAAAGCTTTGAGAATCGAAGAGAGACAGTCACGACACTGGATAGCTCTTCACTCCCATCTATGAGCAGGGCAATGACTGATAGTAGCATTGAAGTAAGATCAACTGTATACTCTATAATATAGTCTGTATATACATGTAGTTATATGCAATCTTGCAATGTATAAGGATAAGGATTGTATGGACAAGGTATATATAAGGATTGTATGCAGTGCACTCGTTTTAATGCACATAAACTTTATCAGGAGAGGACACAATACCTTAACCCAATTAAGTATTGGGGAGCCAAAAACCAAATTGTGGTCAGACATATAGTTCTTAGTGGGTTGTGGTTGGGCCATTATCAGTTGCATTTACTGTGTTTCCTAGTTCTTATTACTACTACCCAGTATTAGAGAGCTATTTATAGTATATGTGTATGTATGCTGAATCTGTATAAAATAAGCACTTGACACTTAGTGGTAGTTTGTGTGTGTGGTTGGATAGGGGATTTTAAATTATGTAAACAGAATGTATAATGGTGAGTTTTATATTGAGGACTACTTAGAGAGAGAAAAGTGGGTCACTAGTGATGTGGGTGATGTGTGTTTAAGTTATGAGGTGAGTGCATTAAAGGGAAGTTTGAAGTCTGTCTCTAATGTATCTTTTTGATTTCCTGTACTACCTTGTAAACAAACAGGTCCTAAACTTGTCTCTTTTTCCTCCTCCTCTCTCTCTCTTTCTCCTTTCTCTTTCATTGTCACTCTCTTTCTCTCTCTCTCTCTTCTCTTAGTGGCACACTGTTTCTCATGCAAAGAAGAAAAGAAAACACTCGATATCGTGTAGAAAAGAAGAGCCACCAATCACTCAGAAATAATAACTATTGTACATTTTTATCGTCTACTTTTCATATTCATACACTAATTGTTTTAATAATGTGTCACCATCATCAATTAAGAACAGAGATAAGAAAGACGTTTACGGAATAAAAATAAAATGATAATAAAATTGAAATTGTCATTTTTATTTGGACAAGAGACGATTTCACAAAAGGATTATATAATTTAAAAAAATTAAAAGCTCAAACTATAAAAAGAGTATCAATATAGTGATGATTGGTTGCAATATAATTAATGTAAATGTCGCTGTCTTTATGGTAGAAGGAGCCGAGTTCCCACACTGGGAATCAAACTAAAAGGATGTGAGAGAAAGAGAGGGAGACAAAGAAAAGACAAATAGATTACGAAATAGTTCACAACAACACATATAGAGGAGATAGATGTATCCATAGATAGATGTATACAATGCACACACTCCGAGTTCTATACTTACAGATTGAGATTCATTAATGCAGAATGATGAGAGGGACCTCTTCCTGTATCTTTGATGTGACATCGAGGAGCAAGGGCAGGGTAATGCTACCTCGGATAGTTGTATCTCATTGCTCCCGCCCTGGCCTCCTCCACTATCCGTTGAAATACAAGTTGTATCATTGAGAAGGATAGCAAGCATAT